ACATCCGTTTAAGGCAAAACGGATGTCGACATCCGTTTAAGGCAAAACGGATGTCGACATCCGTTTTGCCTTCAACGGATGTTGACATCCGTTGAAGGATGTCATCCGTCCAGAGGCAGTGTTCCTTTTACGTTTCGTTTTTATTTTATTTGTTTATTTTATTTACAGTAATTTATATTTAAATTTATAATTTTAAATGTTATATATGGTTAGTTTTTAAACGTAATAATTTTGTTAAAATATGAATTTGTTAAAATATGAATTTGTTATAGGTGGAGAAGAAGCTTAACGGAAGAGAGAAAGGTAAACGAAAATGGAAGAGAGGAAGAGGTGCAGAGGGAAGTAAATCAGAAGTTTTAAATAAATTAAAATATTAAAATAATAAAAATAAAAAATTTTAACTTTTGAGGATATAATTGTCATTTTAGAAGGATATAATTGACATTTTAGAAAATTGGGGAGGTGGAGGAAGAGACGTGTGGGGGTGGAGGGAGTAACACCCAAGAAAAAATTGTTTACTTCAACTGGAGATCCATAGGCCCATTTCCTAACATACATTTTTGAAATCCAAAATTCATTAGTTGTCGTAAGGATTGGATAAATTTTTGATTGGGATGATTTTACATGCAATTCAAAGATAATAAGATTGTAAGTTTTTTTATTTTTACCTTATTTTAACTTTTGAAAATAACATTGGACTATTATAAGATATTTATTAAAAATATATATATATATATATATAAGTGAGAGATAAATCTTCGTCACTTCTAACTAAAAACTTTTAAAAAATCTATCTTCATTTTTCTAAATTTTATTCGATATAAAACTTAACTTACACTTAATAAGCTCCCAAAAACTAATAATATTATATGAAAAAGAAACAAAGTGCAAAAAACCAAATTCATAAAAGAAAAATTTTCATTGAAATGTGTATATACCAATCCAAATGTCACCGAAGGCACTCCAACAAGACTTATTTAATAAATCTCAATAATTTTATTAAATTTTTTAAATAGTCATTAAATATTTTTTAATAACATATATCTAAAAGACATTTCTTATTTAAACATTATAAATGACACAGCTAAAACTTATATTTACTTTTATATATATATATATATATTAATTATTCTTTTATTAGCAGTTTTTCAATCTAATAAAATATTGTCATCTATCAAAAGACTTTGAATAACCAATTTATAAGCAAGCTAGTTGGATTATCCACTTATAAGCAAGTATGGTTGAATGATCAACTTACAAGCAAGTCTGGTTGAATGACCAACTTACAAACAAGCAAATCCAACCGAATGACCAACTTACAAGCAAACAACCTCAATCGGTCAAACGATATAAGAGTTCGGACTAACGACCAAATTCATCTTAAAAGTCTACCGTTCGATAGAACCCAACCACAAGAATGATAAGAAACATCTCTAAGGTTAAATCAAAATTTAAAAATTGGAAAAACTTATGTACATTCCTAACCCAAATATATCATACGGTGGACCCCAACAAAGACCCATTACTAAAATCTTGATATCTTATTATATCATTTAAATATCTTTTAATAACATGTCTCTAACATATACATATTCATTGTTTAAACTACACAAATAACATAGGAGCCCGATATCCGAAGAGAACAAAATAAAATACAAGGATATATAAATCCCAAAAATAACATTAAAAACTAACAAAATCTAAACAACCTAAAATATCTTAAGGAGGTCAAGGGTATAAGGTAATATGTGTAAATAATTCTTTTCGATTTCAATAATTTGTTTTAAAATTTTAAACAATTTATATTTATAAAATCCACATTAAAATAATATGCTTTGTGGACAATTGCTATTAGAAATTATCTAAAAAGATATTTATTCTTCACTTATATATTATATCTTCATCACAGCTTTAAATAATACGAGATTTTAATATATCCCATGAAAGATTGAATTTACCAAGCATAAAGTTGAAGAGACATTTGCAGATAATTTGATTACAACTTGATTATGATCTTCGACTAAGTATACTAATAATAATCGTTTGCATAAGTTCTGATATTATTTTAAAATTTAAGTGTAGATATAGTTCATTTCACAAAATGAAGTTTAAGATAAACATCGACATTCACTGGTATAGTATAATGAAGTATACAACAACCACAACGTGGTAGTTTTCATAATCTATCACCATTATTAGGATTACTTAGCTGGGACTTCTAATTATCTACAGATGAATATACAACTAACTAGAATTCATTTATGTTGAAAATAATTCAAACTTGACTCAAAGTCCTACATTAATCTGAAAAGACAAAAGTTAAACACTATGTTTAACTTTGTCTAGAAAGACAGTGAATTCCCTCTAACCACCAATGTTTCTCAGACGTTCCAGCACATCTTTTTCGCCAGTGAGTTGCCTAACCAAACCTTTGAATTCACCAAAAAGATTCAATACCTCATGGTAAAACTAAACAAAACCAATATAAGTCAAATTCTGCATGATAGAATAAGTAAGAAGAGGAATTTAAGTCTAACTCAATCATACAAAACTGATTTTTAATGAGATTTGTACCTACTTATATGTTCTAAATTGTCCTTGTATCTAGTCGACGTGGGATTATCAACAAAAATTTCTAAATCGATCATCTTATTTCAACACAATTTCAAAGTGCAATGGCACATTAGAGCAGATTGAATTACAATGCTAGATATCAATAATTCATGATTTCCTAGATAGATAAAACTGAAGTAGTAAATATATAAGCATGCAAGGAAGCTAAAAGTTCTTTCCACAAAAGGGCATATACAACATAAGGTATACTGAATAAATTCTTACTGTTGGTATAATCGCGACAATCGTGTAGGCCAATTCTCAAATTTGTTTCCCATTTTTTGTTGAATTCTTCTGCTATTTCCATTGCATCCTCAGTTGAATATCCAACAAGCCAGCATTTGTTTCTTGGTAACTTTTGTAACTTCCTCACAAGAACAGCTCCTAAGAATATGAACAGAATTCATGATTTTAAGGAAAAATAACTAACATTTATGGAGATAAAGTCCAATCAGAAAGTTCAAAAAGCTGTCACAAATAAATCAGTCCAAAATGGTCAAGTTTTCTATGACAAAAGGTTGACATCATAATGTCATCTTAGAAAAACTGAAAGGATCAGGAATCAACTTTTTGATGCTGAAGCACCCACAGTAAGAACAACACAGGGAAAATCTTCCTCTGGCATGCTAGGGGAGAAGATTTCATCATATGCTTTCACTAATGATAACAGAGGCCTACAATAAAACTGTATAAATAACATAAAAGTTCATATGCCGAAGCAAAGAATATGCAACATCCACAGAGAACGACATCTTTCATCGTTTTAAGATATTCAGATTGTGGTTTTTTTCTATATGATTGTCCAACTGCAATCACATTCTAGTACAGCAGTAAAAGCACAAAAGACCAATGTAAGAATAAAAATACAAGACACGCATCTAAACTTCTCCAGAAGTACTCATGGAAAAAGAAATCTGCATAAACTAAAATCAATGTAAGCATCAATTTCTGTATAAACTAATACAAGATAATTTCTGCCAATTAGTTTATATACAAGCTAAGTTTAATTTATGAAACATTTTCCTTCATTTTATTCTACTTATCTTCTTCTCTTACCTGGCACTGCTGTACCATACAAAGCTGCCAGTGCCACATATATATCTTCAGGATCTTTGGGCTGAAAATCAAAAACCAGAACCTGAAAAGGCATTACCATTTTATCAGATTAGAACTCAAGCCTGAATGAAGCAAAAAAGAACTAAATTACTGAAACAAAAATAAGCCAACATTTCTATTCCCAATAAGCATTAAATTAAATTACACAGATTACAAAAGACTGGTTTAATTTCATTTTTAAGAAAAAAATGAAGGGTAATCAGTTGGTGCCAGGAAGGAAATATAAGAATGAGAAAGAAGGGAAATTGACCTGAGAAGGTGAATAGGGTTTGATGATGACCATGAAATGCTGCAAATCCCAGAAATTGAGAGAGTAAGCAGCAGACATAAGCAACTGGGGTGGTCCCTTTGTAGCCCTCAGAGGCATTGCAGCAACATACACTTCATCTCTTCCTCTTACCATTGGAGAATTCGAAAACAACGACGCCATTTTTCTGCCACAATAACTACCAAAGCCAAAATCTACATAGATTACAGACACCGCTAAACTAAAGGGCTCAATTCAACTCTATCTTCTCTGCCTCAAATTTCATGTCGAAATATCCCTTTAATTTATTCTTTTTCTAAAAATAAATAACCTACACTTTTATTTATTTAAATTAACTAAATAAAATTATTTTATATTTTTAATGATAAGAATATTTGTCACTTCATTATTTTTTAACGCTAAAATTCGTATAAAGGAATATTTGTATAGATATATCATAGTAGGGAACTGTAGCATTATTATCTCTGTGATGCTGTTTGAATTGTTATTTTATAAATTAATTTCTTTGTTTTCATCCTTTAATTGTGTTTTTCAGTAGGAATAAAAATGGATTTTAACCAGATTAGAGTCTGATCTCATTCCTAAATTAAAGATTTCGAAAAAGAAACAGCATATAATATAAGATAGCAATAATCTACGTATTTATTTGATGAAAGAAAGTTATCCTGCATGCAGAATGACACAAGAAACATGACAGACATCATTGATAGATACTAGTACTACTTTGGATGGAGTTGTTGCCATGTCTGAACTCAACTATCCCTCCATTCTTCCTATTTCGCTACATCTTTTATTAGACCACTAAGCAAACAAAACAAAACACATGCAACAACAAAAACACATAATGATGCAAACTGCATATTTTCTTTACTCGGTCGTCTCTGTCGGAGCCTCTGTCACTGCCACCTCCTCGCTCTTCTCACCTTCTGCTATCACTTCCTCCTCTTTCTTTTCATCCGACCCTTCTGTCTCAACCTTCTCCTCCTCGCTTTTCCCTTCTGGGCTTTCTGTCTTTACCTCTTCCTTCGCTACACCATCATCTTCTTTCTCAGTCTCTGTCACTGTCACAGCTTCTGCTGTTTTCACCTCATCGGGATCAGCATTTTCTTTTGCTTCTTCTGTCTCAGCTTCTTCCTTTGAAGTTTCCTCTTCCGTCTTCTCAACTGTTGGCTCTTCTGCAACCTCTTCTGTAACCTCTTCTGCCACTTCTTTAGTATCAACTTCGACCGAGGGCTTGTCTTCTGAGACTGCTGCTTCTGGGGCCTCGTCGGTTTTCTCAGTGACAGACTCTGCTGCTTGTGTTGGTGTTGGAGTTGCAGCAATTTCTTCTTTCTTTGCCTCGTCACCCTTCAATGATGCCTCTATCTTGTCCTCTGAGAGGGCAAACTTTGCTGATACAACCTAACAAAAACAATTTATTCAGATGAAAATTCATATTTTGTTTATCAAAATCCTAACTTTAACTCTGCTGAGAAAACAACAACAACAACATAATAAGGTGGTAGGAGTGCAGTTTCAACACTTCTTGCTCTTCTTTACTTCATAATCGTTGGTTAATGTATTGCTGCAAAATATACTATAGGGAAGGATTGAATGGAGTTACCTCAACAGTGGCCATTGGAATAGCAAAGAATATATGCAAGTGATTGAAAAGGAGGAAAGTTATAGAAGGCTAAGGTTTTGATGAAAAGAAATGAGCATTGAGAGTGGGTTATATAGAGTTAAAAGGGTGTTGTTGATGAAAGAAACGGAGAGGTGGGGACACATGAAGAATCTTGGGATTTGACCCCTCCATTACTGAATGTTAATAAGCATGTTTGGCAATAATGGTGACAAAGGCTTAGAGATGAGGTTATATTATTATTTTATAATCTTTGTTTCGGATCTCTCTGCTACTAGCTTGAATAATGGAGGACGATTTTCATTGAGATCATCATTCTTTTGCTTCTAAGTTTCTGTGCTTTGTGCAGTCGGATTTACAGGGGGAACTATCAAATTCATACATGCTTATTCAATCATCGTTTGTGGCAAATAGTTGTAACTTGCAAATGCTTCTGTTAACTGGTTTAGCAGTAAACTACATTTCTCATTCTTATGCATTAATTCATCTCTCAGAATTTTCATGACACATATATCAGTACCCTATTCTAACGTGTAAGATTGATTCTTATAATTATTAGTTTGAAGATAGGTTGTTTAAATAACATGTGTGACTTTCATCTCTTTGCTCAAAATTTGCTGTCATAATTTTTAAATTTGATCACAATTAATACTTTAGTTAAATATGTCATGTAGTGTATGGTCCGGATAAGGGAAATATATCGTTAACAAGTCTTTTAGACAGTTTTTTTATAAGAACAACACGTGTTAACGTGTGATTGGTTCATTTCAAATATACGAACCAATAAAATAGTGACAAATTATTAAAAAAAATTATTAAAATATCATGATCTTTTAAATAAACTATGACCAGACAGTTCATATATTCATAAACTAAGATCATACAAATCTAATACTTACTTTTAAACAACATTTAGATTTAATAAAAATTAGTTAGATTAAAATTAGACGATTAATAATGCAAAGTACATCTTAAAATTTACAAACTCAAATTTAAGATAAAGAAATAAATAATTATATTTATTATACATTAAATATTAAATTCAATCCATTTTCACTCATTTGACTTTAACATGAGATAACATTGTAAAGATGAGTATTAGAATATTTAAGATTTATTGAACAAATAATATCCACCCATAACTAAAACATGTCTGAAGTTTCAAACTTTAATATATTTTGTTTCAAATTTTCAAAATAAATAAATATATTTCATCAACGTGTCAAACAATATTTACATATAACCAATAAAAATTTAATGCAGTTATTTATTTTTAAAATTTAAAAATCAGAATGTATAATGCCAACAAAATTTTGAATTGAAACTACAAATATATTTAGCCCATACTTTAATTTTATTTAGGAAAAAAATTACATTATTAAATGAAAAAGATAGATAACAGAAAAAAATTGATAGAATTTTGTGAGTATACTAGAAATAATTTTGGGAGCAGTGAAATGAAATGTTCCGGTGATGGATCCCAAACAAACAAATAAATAAATGGAGGATGGCTCCAGATCAGACCCTGACGTAAGTAAAGCAACAAACCGTCGTTCACCTAAACAATGTGGGCCTTGGTCGGCTGGTGGGCCATTAGGTCCATCTCAGTGGGCCCATCTTAGTAGGCCCTGCCAGGAGATTCACATCTGGTACCGAAGTTTCCCCCAATCGCTACGTGACACGTGGAAATCACACACCGACCTCTGCTTCTCCTTTTGATTTTGATGTGATGAGATGAGACTACATTTGTAAAACCAAAGTTCATGAATGATGCCACCATTGACATGTTCTGTTGTGTTTCGTATTGTACAATTGTAAAAAATGTGTGCGTTAATTTGTATGAAATGTCAAATAAACTCCTAAGTATTGTTTAAATTTTTGACTATTTTTATTTGTATTTTTCACACATTTTTTTATATCTCTATATTTTTTAAAATTTTAAAATTGTCCTTTATAATTCAAAAGACCCTATATTTTAAAATCTGTTAAAAAAGATTTATTTTAATTAATTTTAAAATTTATTGAAAGATTTTTTAAATCTTTAATCAATTTCGAAATTTATCGAGAAAAAACGTAATTTCGAAACTATTTTCGGAATGTGGAAATGTAAGAAAAACAACCATAAATGTATTGAGGGAATTTTTAGAAATTGTGAGAAGAATTGGTGATAAAGAGTTAATGAAATTGTAGATGCTAGTGGCTCCAAAATAGAATGATTAGGCCTAGGAATTAAAATTTGTGTATCACATCATCTTTCACATTGGAATTATTTACCTAACAAAGGCATACATAACAGTAACTCTTATAGCTGTAAATCTGGAAACAGACACATGAAAAAAGTTATTGCCAAATGTGTTTGTCCAGGGCATCAATAGCTGCAATAATGCCCTCAAACGTTACCAAACAATCCGTGACTAAAAAAAAAAAATTAGGTGTCATTTAATATTTGAATAATGATATTTGACAACATTTTAACATTATTTATGTGTTATTATGTGATTGGTCCATGTTGCTGTTTATGATTATTATTATTGATTGTAGAGTAATTTTGGACCAACCACAAGATGACACATAAATGATGTTAAAATGTTATAAAAAAAATGTTTTCAAAGTATCATATCCTTAATATTTTACTCTCTGTTTTTTAATTTTTAATTTTTTTTGGGTAAATTTTTCAAAAATACGTGAAATTTTCAAAACAAACATTTTAAAATATACTAAATACTTTTTAGAACAATTTTTTTCACAAAATCCAATGTTTTTATTTTTCTCTCTCTCTCTCCTTTTAAAGAGTGCAGTAAAAAAGAAGACACGGTGGTAACAATAGTTTTAGTTGCAATGGAAACGTAGGGTAAAGAAGAAGAATATTTTAATATGTGATTAATGAGGTGGAGAAGGTAATAACTATGGGTGTGTAAATAGTAAAAGCTTGAAGTGTTATTCACACCTCATATTTGCTCTTTTCTCTTTCCATTTTTATGTTTCTTTGTACACTTCAATTTTACTCTTCACACTCCTCATTTTATATCATGTTTTATATTCTCCAAACATCACTCACTTTCCCTCCCAGCTTCACCCTTGCTTTTTTGCACAAATTTTACAAAAACTATATGTTGTTTTATTTTAATATATATTATCAAGACTAGTTATGTAATGTATCTATACACAACATTTTTTCCATGGTGTAAAGAGGATCACATTATAAAAACTTGTTTCCAAAGTATTAGAACATTATATTTAACAATACAAATTTTTATGAAGGATATTTTCGTATAAAAAATGGGACAGTGTAAAAAAAAAGTGTGGATAGAATAAAAAAAACTCTTATTTTTTTGGATAACTCCAATATCCCTTTATCAAAATCCCAATACAAAATCACCATATTAAGAATAACATTAGAAGTATCGATAGAAAATTGGAACAAATTATACTTGAATTTCTTTTTATTTTAACTCTACAAAAGATGTACAAATTAATAAATTATTAAATCATTGTGTTATAGAATCAATTTTGAAAATTTCCCTGAATAAGTATATTAAACTTACTATTTTTCTACATTATTAATTGATCAATCATGTTCAAGACACTATTACTGAAAAAAAAATCATAGAAAGGAAGGAACTCATTCAATGAATACAATATGTAAAAAAAAAAGAA